TATTTTCATCAACATTTATCTAAAAGATTTTAAATGCCATTCATTTGTTTTCATTTCTAAATTACCTTGGAAAATTTCTATGCATGGTATCTATAATTATTTTGTCAAGTTTGTTGTGGAAATCTACACTTAGTAAACCATTGCTTCTTTCTTAACTTTCAATTCCGCTAAAATTCATCAAATATTTTCCGAAAAGAATGCTGAACTAATCCATTGATAACTTTATCCGCTGGGTTGAAACATGTTTTTCAAGTACGACTCTTAAGAATGAAACTATCTGACCTTAGTCGACAAAAAAACTAATCATAGTTACATAAAATATTACTAATTTTAGTCTTCTTCTATATCTTAAGCACTGTTGATGCATATTTATATCATTTGTTCCTTACTTCCTCTCTAATTCTTATGTTAACATTTTTCACTATTTTTTTAAATTTATATCAATAAGTAAAGTAACGAATGTAATTTCCCACTTATATGTAAAGTTCTACTTTGTTTAATCTGCTGCGAGAGGGGTGATTTAGCCTTGATAGTTTCGTTGCCTATAATGGCAACATAATTTTTTAATTTATCATGATATACTCCATATTATATTGGGATAAAATTGAATATAAATCAAACAGAACTAATCGTTTAAAAAATGTCAATCATTTACAATTTAAATATCACACATTTCGGTCACCTTCTTTTACACTTTTATACTGAAACATACTTAAGCCAGTCATACTTTACATATTCTTGTCGATTAAATAAGTTTCGGTGAATTCTTTTTTTTAAATTTTGTTGGATTCAAAGTCTGATATCAGTTAGAGAACTATAGAAAACTAGAAAATATCTTTCGATCATCTCATTCATGTCTGAAGTTACAAGTCAATAACTTAATGATATCAAGCTCATAAAAGTACATCAGTCTGGACTTGAGTAATAATGTAGTCAATCGTTAGTAATAAATACCTTAACTAGTACGAAACTGACATTCATTGGGTCTTCAATAATTTTTATTTAATGTTAACTTACACCGTTCCTATAGTATCTATTCATTCGTTAGAATAAAATTATTATAATTAATAGTAATTTATATAGTGATTTTTTTAATGATTTTGTAAACTTAGATAATTGAGTTTATGAGTCAATTGGAGCTAGACCACCATGGAAAGCCTGGAAGCACTGGATAGCCATTTCGTTCTATTGTGGGACTCCTCAACAATGCGTATCTACGACCCCGCCTCACGAGATTCGAGCATAGGACCAATCAGTCTCGCGCGCGAGCGCCTAACCACTAGACCACTGAGCCGACTTGCATCCAACGGTGTAGATGTACTAACTTCAACTAATCCACGTAATTGAGCGACACATTCACCATTGTTTCCAGTGAGTTACTATCTCACAACATATGCTCACTAGTGACTGTCTCCAAGAGGTGTATCCTGGAGTTCTAGTGAGAAGCAGTGATCATTGGAGTTCAATCCAGTCAGTTGTGCGATAGTAACTCACTGAAGACAGTGGCCGATGTTTCGCTCAATTTCGTGGATTAGTTGAAGTTAGACATCTACACCGTTGGATGCCAGTCGGCTCAGTGGTCTTGTGGTGGTCGGTATTCGATATATTCCTTAAACTTCGTATACAATTCGTCTTGATAACTGTCCTATTTAACCCCAACGGTATATTATTCAGAAGGCGAATACGAAGCGTTGATTACGTTTATTTTGAGACCACACACACAGATGTCCAAAATTACAGATGCATTAAACGAGCATTAAGAGTTGTGTCGAACGGCAAACAGGCAAGCGAGCGACTGAGCGAATGTAAGTAATCGAGTACAATCAAGCGAGTGAGAAAGCAGAGTCAACCATATGAATAACATGGACATATATATAGCATGTGAAATTAATGAGTAATCGAATCAAATAAGCGGTTAGTAGTGAGACTAGCAGAGTGAACAAATGCGTAGGCCGTAAGCAATATTCAAGCATGCGTATTTCATACAAGCACAGAATAATAATAAGGGTACAATAAATTGTTATAGTGCGGATGGCTTTGTCCGCTAAATAAGTTAGCAAAAGGGCTTAACTGAGTTAAATGAGAATAAACCCATTTGCACGTGAGTCGCTATAGTCTAATGGTTAAGTGCTCGCACGTGAAACTGCTAGGTCCTGGGTGAGCACTTCTAAGGAATCCCATACTAGGACGAAACAGTCGTTCAGTGCTTCCAGGTTTTCCATGATGGTCTAGCTTCAATTGACTCATGATCTTAACTATTAAAATTATTATAATATCCACGAAAACCCCTTCTGATTTTGTAAACGCTTAAAATAGTTCTTCACTAGCTTGTGAACTATTAAAAAAGAATATAAACTTTTAAAATATTTAAAACATTTTAGAAAACTACTTCATTTTAAGCTTTAATATTAAATCATTTTAAAATGATTAAAGAAACTGTGTTGTTTTTTTCCACAATTTCTGATATATTCATAGAAAAACGTCATAAATAAAATAATTTACTAAAGTTTTATATAATTAGTATAAGAAAAATGAAAGATAAATCCAAAAAGTCATCATGGAAACAAAAATCAAAGAACCCATCATTCATTTTATTTTAGGATTTATCAGTTGAATTCATCTAGATTATTAGTATGGGTGTTTTTTTCACAAAAAATCATATTTTACCATTATTCGTTTGAAAGAATGTGACCCCCTGTTGTGAAATATATTTAGTTTGAATTTGAATAACAGAGGGGGTGGGGTGAATGGCAAAAATATAATGTGAAAATGTAAATATGGTTTCCATTTGTTCATTGTACTTTGTACGTTTATGTATCTCATTTAATTGAAAATCATTTTATACATTAGAGAATATCTTTCTACAATTATTACTCTTTAATTGGTATGAATAGTAATGTTTATATTTCAATCAACATCATTTATTATTTGTTAATAATTTATCCTTTCAAATATTAAAAATATAAGCATTTCAATATGCAATGACTAGATTCATCAGGGAATTCTTGAAGTTTTAGTAAGAAGTCGCGACCAGTGGAGTTAATCCGTGTAGGGTAGAGACCTACCTCAGTACAATCAAAGATGGTCGCGCCATTTCGTGAATTGGTTGCGGGTAAACATTACCACCATTGGATGCCTACCCATTGGTCTAGTAAGTTAAGCGCTCGCACATGAGGCTAAAGGCCCCGGGTTCGAATCCTGCGAGGCGAGATAGTGGATGGGCACTGCTGAAAAGTTTCACAATAGGACAAAACGGCTGTCCAGTGCTTCCAGATTTCCAACGGTGGTCTAACATCAATCGGTTCATGATCTCAACCAATATCCTTTTTTATCCAGTTTAACATAACCAACTAAAATTAGGTGCAGAACTAATAAAATCCAGAAGGCAGCAGACTCGTTTTTACCTTGGTTTGAAAACTCTAATCGATACACACCCATTATACCTCACAACTAACTCGATAAATTCAGGTTTATTAATAAGTAAGATATTTTAAAGTCGTTCTGTTTGGTTCAAGACTTCATATTTTAAATTATAGTTAGTTGGCGGGGTGGCCAAACTATCGTTATATTTCATCAATTAATATTCCATTTCTGGAACATGGGATTTCAAAAGTCCCAATTTGATAATGGAACTTCGAAAAATTGATCTACACTTTAGTCATTCACAACAACATAACCATAATTATTTTGATAACTGTTGTATCTACGTAAACAGCTAACCGAGTTGGCACTTGGTACCAGACACGTATAGATTGGATGACCCTTATAAGAACTTTACGAGGATGGACAAGGATTTATTCGACCCTGAGGATATCTTAGAACAATGTATGAATACGCCATGTTTTACATGATTTATTAAGTCAGATTAGCAGCCAGATTCGTCAACACATTTGTAATCTTCTAACATCAATCATTAAAGACCAATGGATATAACAAATTGAATAAGCTACATACTTACTCTTCAGGATATGATTATATACCAAAGACGTGTGAAAGAAGATCAATTTGATATATTCCTGGCACTCAAACGATTAAGTACTCGTTCATCATATCCATAACTTGTACAGACCGTGTTTCATTTAAAGGCGGTTTGTACTTAGGCTTGATGTCAACCAGAGAAATCAAACACTAAGATCACACCTAACCTGAATGACTTCACGTTTCTTGGTTTTGTAACAAGTCTCTGAGAATTCAAAACTGGAGCTTTAAACCAATTCTGAGTTGTGAACGCACACCGCTCACGATGCGTACTTTGGGACGAAATGGTTGTTAAGTGTAACCTGGCTTTCATTATTTCTTTAACTGGCAACTGTCTGTAATGAATTAACATGATACATTTAAACCAAACGTTTAATATTATTCTATATGAAAAATTACTTGGGCATGTACGGTTCGTATAATTAGTTCACTTAATAAATAAAAATAAAGCGAGAATAACAAATGAGGTAGAATAATGTGAACTGATTTAATTACATGGTATATCCTTGTCTACTTACAACTATATTTGTATTGAAGTACAAAATTATTCTAAATAGCAAATAACTATGAATGATAAGATGAAAATGATAGCAATATATACACATATTTATGAATAAGCATAAGAAGGAAACCTTAAAACAGATATTGAAAACATGAAAGAGTTAAGGTAGTAATTGTCTTGAAATTCGAAAACTGACAGGATGTACTAAGCAATAATTGAAGGGAATAATTGAAGGGAATTGAAGACTGTGATGAATAAAATCAAAACAGATAGATGGGAAGTAATTTTAGAATGAATGAGATAAAATTTGGTTAAGCAAACTGCAAATTAATAATAATTGGACATAGTTTCAATCAAAATCATGAATTAACTTGATTCTTGAAACAACTTATTTGAAAAGAATTTCATTGATAACTATATCATGTCTTATGTTCTATAAAAATATTCTCCAATAAAATATTTTCGTCCTATTTTACTTCAAACAAATGACTTTATCCTGATATCGATTATTCTCTTTCAGAGTTGATGCAACTAGTTCAATGAGGGCACATTTAAATAAATTGCATCATGGCAAACTTGTTGAATGTAGAGCAGAAAATACTGGATATGAAATGCATACACTTCGTCCAGCTCAGACAAAAATTGAAGTACATTGTAAGTTCCGTGGTTTCAATAGGCAAATATCATGTATTATTTATATTACAAATTATATTTCATATTTCTTGTTAGACAATAGTCTTGTCATAAATCTTGACATTTTAGTGACTACGCAAAAAGTCCGCTATATTACGTATGTAATATGACCAGAAAATTGAGACTGTTTTGATTAGGAAATACAATTTTATTGAATGTTAGTCATGATAATAGTTGAAAGAAAACAGACTATTTTCTAGTGGCCTTTACAGTGATATTATCTTCTGTTATCTCTCTGGTCTAGATTTTGTGATTGATTAAGTGAACAAATAACCAGTTTGATCAATTTTACTAATTGTTTTTTGGAGAAATTTACACTTAATCTGAAAATGTTAGGCTCAATTTTCTATTCATCAAGTTATCACAACAAATATACTATTATTTCATCTAAAATGTTTTAGGGAGTATTTGAATATATAACAGTACTCGGTCGGCGAAATAAGCATCTCATTGACTATATATTTTCATCATTCAAAGCCTGAGTTACGTTGAATACTGTGAAATTTCCAGAACCCGTGATCACCGCGAACAAACATACGTTCTAAAAGAGGAATAATCAAGTTAATGATTAAAGTAAGCTCTGTGATACAGTGCTTGTTTACTTCAATGTAAAGCTTTAACGATGAATGCTAGCCAGACCACGTAGCGAAGCATACAAATTTAATTTCATTCTAATGTGAAAATATGCTTATACTAAGACTTATTTGCGATAACTCTTAGCATCAAAGCATCACAAGTCAATTTTATTTTTATTAATGAACTAACCGATCAATATAAAAATTGTTTTACTCATTTTTTTCAGACGCTCCTGTTGTGAGTATACAAGTACGGCCCTCACGACCTGACAATCAATTTATGGAACATGACATTATTACTGTCGAATGTACAGCACACGGAAGACCAGATTCATTCTTCTGGGAGTAAGTGTCTTTATAGCTTAGTTTGCCACTCTCTTGGTTTTGCTGTTAGCATCATTATCTTAGTGTATTTAGTTAATTTGTTTGTTAATCCTAATACTCTTCACTTCTAATTCCTTCAGACAGGAAATTCACAATTTATATCATATTTATTTTAACGGTATTTTCAATCTTGAACTTTAGAAAATCCATTTAGCTGTAAATCATTAATTGAAGAGTGTGTGTAGATGCATATTATCAGTTAACCTTACAACAGAAAGAAATAGTTGACTAGTCCCCTTTAAAAAAATTTCTCACAATTGTTTGAATGATACAAGCTCATTAGTAAAATCTCTTTAACACCACTATGGTTAAGTATTTTGCATACAAAAAGACATCATTTCTTTCCATATATCGCAACAATAGGAGTTTTCCTCTTCATTTTCATTTGGTTGGCTATATGACCTAAAAAAAGAGTAAATTAAGTTCCAAATTAAGACAGTCATTATATTTATCGTATCTGTATTATTACTAATATCAATAAATTACACAATCTTCATTAGTCTTAGTTTTGATCAAATTTTAACAAGCATCCAATTAAAAAATATTACGTGATTAGAATAGTTAATATTGCAATCATCTATTTGGATTTTTTTTCAAAAAGTAATATTGGATTTGTATCTAAAAGTCGAATATGATGAATGATTAAAAATTTCAAAACTGTTGGAAATGTTATAAGTAAAGATAGATAGTGGCTAGCAATAGAATCCAGGATGCACATATCGTGCTATTCAAGACCCATCAGCTAGATATACCTGCATCTCAGAGTTCATGTTCATTCTAAGTCTTGAACTCAGTACCGTCCACTTCAAAACGCCATCGAGTTATTCACTTAGCTTCTAAGTCCTGATAGTCAGTTGCTTGTCCAATAGGGTACAGTTTTAAATTCACTTAGTATTTTACAGATTGAAATCATGAGTCAATTGAAGCTAGACCACCATGGAAAACATGGAAGCACTAGACGGTCGTTTCTTCCTAGTATGGGACTCCTCAGCAGTTTGCACCCACGATCCAGCACCCCGTGAGATTCGAACCCAGGACCTATCAATCTCGCGCCAGGCGCTTAACCAACTAGACCACTGATTTGGCATCCAACGGTATTAATGTCTAACTTCAACTAATCCACGAAGTTGCGCCACCGTACACCATTGTCTTCAGTGAGCTTATATCTCACAACAGACCTGCTTGAACTCCACTGGTAACGGCTTCTCACTAGAACTCTAGGAGTATCTCCTGAAGTCAGTCACTAGTGAGCAGATGATTGTTATCAGAAGGGGTTTGTGGAGATTTTAGAAATTTCACAGATTGAAACCATGAGTCAATTGAAGCTAGACCACCATGGAAAACCTGGAAGCACTTAGTATTGTCTACTTTTTTTGGAAATGTTCTTTATGACTTTTTTGCAAAAACTAATAGAACCTAATGAAGAAATAAATTAAATTTTTTTTATTTAATTCTTGAAATTTAGCTTACCTAACCATAATAAACAATCACCTGATGTATATAAATGAAAATAAGATCAAAATAAAATATTTAAGTGTTTCTTTTAAAAAAAAATTAAAAATTAAGTTTTTAATTTGTATAAATTAAAGAACATGTCTCAATATATTACGGGGTTTATTTTTTTCTTTTATTTAAGTGAATAGTCTGTTTCTGTCACCTTTTTCTTTTTGTTTGAAAATGGCTTAGAAACAATTTTTTTCTTAAAAAAAAGCATATTCTTTCTTAATAGTTAAAATGGTTTTAGTTAAAACAAAATGTTACGTAATCATTATGTTTTAATAAGTAGTTTAAATCAACTTCATATTCATATTATCAAAATGGGTTTTGTGGAGATTTTTAGAAATTTCACTGGTTAAAATCATAATCCGATTGAAGCTAGACCTCCATGGAAAACCTGGAAGCACTAGACGGCCGTTTCGTCCTAGTATGGGTCTTCTCAGTAGTGTGAATCCACGATCCCGCCCCCCGCGTGGATCGGTTGAAGTTAGACATTAATACCGTTGGATGCCAAATCAGTGGTCTAGTTGGTTAAGCGCCTGGCGCAAGAATGATTGGTCCTGGGTTCGAATCTCGCGGAAGGCAGGATCGTGGATGCGCACTGCTGAGAAGTCCCATACTAAGACGAAACGGCCGTCTAGCGCTTTCAGGTTTTCCATGGTGATCTAGCTTCAATTGACTCATGATTTCAACCAGTGAAATTCATACTTATATCTTTATTTTTTGTTTGTTCGTTTGTTTCTTCTTTAAAATAAATTTTAAGATGGTAACCTTTCATTTGAATTTAATAATTTTAAAAAATATTTTTGTATACCAAAAAAAACAAAATAAAAGGGAAAAACTATATTGATAGAATGACTGGGTATATGAACTAAGACAACATTTCCGAAATATGACCCTATTAGTTTTTTTGATATTTTATTTCAATTTAATGAGCGTAATTGTTATTATTACTGGTTGTTTTATTGTTTTATTTCTTTAAATCATATTCACGTTTTGTGTATTTCAGACATAGTTTTATTGATAAAACTCATAACAAAAAAAGGTTACTTAGTTACTATTATTTTAGTTAGCTGGTCTGTTATACTTGGCTATTTTTATACATTTTTATGTTATAGAGACTAATAAAAGTACAGTGTTTGTTAGGATAGTTTTAAAATTATACAAGTGATAGACGATATATATATTGAAACAATGATAATTTCCGGTACGACCATCTGTTAAATTTATCTTTCATAATTTAAAAAAAATATGTGATATTTTACCAATTGTTTCCTGTAAAGAATTAAAGTATTATTTTATAAAATGATTCTTTCATTCAAACAGTCTAGGAAACGACCGATTTGGTGACTTTTTCTTTCATCTTTTTTGTATAGTAACATAATTTATATTTATTTTATGTTTGTGAAACATTACTCACCAAAATATAAGACATGATCAAGTTTCAGATGATGATGAAAGCAATCTTTTAGTTAATCGAAGGTTACTTGGTAAAAACGGTTTATGGCTGTAAATTTTCGTTGATTGAGTTGATGGTACATGTGTTACACATGCATAACCGAATTCCTAACTAATAGATGATGACTACCTTATAAAAAAAAACTAGACAAAGGCTACAACACAAAATCAGTCTATCATATCGCTGGCTTTCTTAATGAACGTGGTGAGAACGTTCAAACTGCATAGCTAAGATCCATGCCAAAAGATGTAACTGGTAGTTTAAAAAGTTGGGAGCAGATTTATTCATTCTTTGTTGTTTTCTCGAAAGTAATATCACATTTCTTTTTGATTATTTTAGATGGTATGTAAATGGACGTCAAGTTGAAAATATCGCCGAATCATGGTATCGTCTCCGATTAACACGTGAATTACATCAATCTGTATTTCGGTGCATTGCAATTTCAAATAAAAAAGGCGTTGCTGAAACAACAATAAAAGTTAAATGTGAGTTTATTTCTTCTATATGATGATATTATTTGATGAAAACCAATGAGAATTCACCTCGATAGTATAAGTTAACATTTTAGAATTTACTGCATGTTAACTAAAAGTTAACAGCCAATAAATGTTGGCTCACTGCCTACTTAGGTTATATATCACAATGCTGCCGTTTAATTATATATAGTTTATGTTTACTAATGATCGTTTGTCCAATTATCAACATATGGTTTAACAATTTGCAGTACCTAATATTTTATAAATCAGTTTATTCTAATAACAATTCCATTATTATCGGACGACTCATTGTATCAATAGATGATATTTATCACAATTTTACAGAAAATTGTGGTAAAGAAGCTAATCTAAACTCTTTGAGATTAAAAGAATATACGGATTTTACAATTTTCTATATATGTCAATTCCTTCTTAATGCTGACCGAATTCCACATACTAAACCGCAGTGTGGCCACTATCCTAAGCGACTCAACAGTGGATGTACTATAGTGAGATGTGAGGTGGTGGTTGGAGGTAGTCGATAGGAAACCTTTGACCAGGGAGCAGAAGTCCCCCAAAGATTGCACGTTGACCTTTGCGATGTGTCCCAAATAGCACTAAACCTATGTCCAGATTTTCCTGTAGACTAACTTCAATCACGACCATACAATCGATAATATTAATATGCAATGATATGGAAAGCTACAAGGAAATATTAAAATTGGATTTAAGCCAGTAAAGTTTTGATCAATAGTCTAGAGTTCCTCCAATAAATGATATTGAATCTTAGGAACTAGAAAATAAATAATTTTCCATCAGTTTTATAGTCAAAATATATGTAGAAAACCAAAATCAAATCAAGAAAATCAAAACAAAGAAAATACTACAGAGTGCAAAGGAATTTTGAATATCTTTTTAAACACTGACGACCTGTTACTCCAGTTCAACAGATTTTAAAGAATATTCAGAGAGTTTATATTTGCTTCACTGTTTAAGATAATAATTTTTAAGCTTATCAGCTTAGAAGATATATGGTGTTTGACTACACTTCATTAAAACGTTCCTGGATGTCGGTTAAAAAATATGCCTATACTGTGTCGAATAAATGAATGATTCGTCACAAACTTAAAACTTGATCACTCAACGTTGCTAACAAATATATCGTTACCAATTGATTTACTCCTTTCAGTCTAATCCTATTAGATATTAACACTAGTGAGGATGTTAATGAACAGTGTGTTTTGAGAAAGTATAAATCCCTTCTACTTTTAATAAATAATTTCTGGTGAAATAAATAATACAACCTATTGCTTTTAATCTTCAAATCGAATGTAATATAAAGCAAATTATTTAGTTTTAACATATAAACAATAAGTATTCGAAAGTATCATTATTTCTGATTATTTTAGTTGGACCTCAATTTCATCAAGCTTCAGCTTTACTATTCACAGCATCGCTAGGTGAAGATGTTTTAATGGATTGTCCAGCAATAGGTAATCCAACACCGCATATTGAATGGAGACGTGAAGGTGGTAGGGAAGTTCTTTCACGCAGTGTTTCACTGAAACGTGAAAATTTAAAAGAAGAAGATTTTGGGACGTATATATGTACAGCTTTTGTACCGGAATTCCCCCCTGTATCCAAACAAATGTATATAGCTAGACGAAGTAAGTTTGCTTTATTCGCTTGAATTATAAATTCAGTTGATGTTGTATTGTTGAAAAAACTACAAATATTGATTTGCTATCTAAACAAGTTTATCTTCTCTTCAAAAATGTCTCAAATACTATGTCGAACGCAATACAGTACTAATAAAAAGTAACCATAGTAATTAGTGCTTCAGATTGCTAATTTTCCATCAGTCATTTCTTTCTATAAAAGTTTCATTGGAATTGTTTCATATGACGGACTGCAAACGGTCATAACTAAAACGATGAGACAAATCTCTAACCGTCATTAAAATATCTTTAACCTAAAATATGTCTGCATAATGCAAACTCTCATGTGAATTCAGAGGAATGGTTCACTGGGTTGGTTTTCATTATGCTGCTAATCATCCTTAAAATATGTACTGTTGAATAATGTCAGAAGAAGAACCAGTTAAAAAATAAAGCACAGTCATTTTATATTGGCACGATCTCATTCATTTGAGTAAGTATCGTCTGAGCATTCAAATGCACTTTTGCGTGTTGAAGTGAGCTAATAGTGTGTGCGTGTGTATATAGTTCATTCCAAATGCTGTTTTTAGTTTCAAGCACACTACATTTTTTGATGAGATTCTAATGGAAATCTACTATTGCATTACTGGCATTCAGTAATACGGCTCTAACTTTAAACAGGCAAATTCAAAAACTAATCCTTTAATTCTACATGTTTGATAAGTTGATTTTTCCTTAGAAGCTAATCTTATATTAGGAAAATATTCATTCGTTCAACCACCTTTTGAATATACTGTTTTCATCTATGACAAAAGTTTTGATACTTTTGCTAAAACAGTGTCAATTATCATTTATTTTTAGTAAGGTATCATTTATTGTTTTACTAAAAGTACAGTGAGTTATGTTTATGATACGTTGAATAGATGCTAAAATAATGTATTTTTGCAAAGATTAGAGCACAATAAAAGAAATTAAGACATATTAAGAGAGATCAATTTAAAGGAAACTGCCATTTATGCTTTCTTATGCTTTTTTGAAGTCGTCGATATATTTTATCTCACATAACCATAATTTTTTAAAAATGAACCATGAATAAAACGTTTAGGGAAAGGCAGGAAAAGTCACGACAATATCGAAGTCTTTTCTATTGTCTGTCAACTTGTTTTGAACTGTAGTCCACATTTTTTGAACATCCAATCGATTTTATAATGCTAATTACATTCAATGTTATTGATAGACAATTGACTGACTCCTTTTTTCCTTGATTGTGTTATATTCGCAAATTCTCAACTGACTTATGTCTAGTGCTGAAAACCCCAAATCCCACAACAGGTAGCGGAAACTCAACGACTGTTGATATTAATTTATTTAGGCCACGAAATAAATCAAACTAACGTATGAATACATAACACTTTATATGAATTATTCACAGCTAGATTACCAATTGGATTTGTTTAACTTGATCTCATCAATATTCAACTTCGGTTGACCACACATATTCAATATCATACAGTTAGGTATCCATAACCAACAGATATATCTAGTTGATAAATTCATGTAACTACTTCTAACACACGATCAATTTCATTTGTAAACCGCACACCAATCGATCAAATCATTCGCCACCAATATGAGATAGTGGAATTCATAGATTTACACAAGAACTTGAGGAAATCAATGTAGTATATAGCTTACTTAGTGACATGTACAACTAAAATTTAATTAAATAACTTTTGAAAAGATTTTCTTAGAATCTAGAGATAATTTAAAGAAACTAAAACTAGGAGATATTTAACAGGACATTTTCTGCACTATGAAACCAAATGTTAAAATTCTTTCATAAATCACACTGTTTTCTAACAATTTCAATAATCTCCACTATCATCATTGGTGTATACATATTTTACTGGGCAATATTGTATATCCATCACATTAATTATTTAATAAACAGTACTTATCTACGTAAAACTATAGGACTCCAAAATGAAATCATTAAAAACTGCTTGTTCTAAAACATTATTCTATTGTCCTGAATTTTTGATCAAGAAAAAAGAACTACACAGATGAGTATTTTATATAAGTATGGCGTTAATATATATATATATATATATATATATATATATATATATATATATATATTAGAACGAAATGATATTTCAATTCATGATTTTCATATTATGATCTAAGACTCAGACAGAAGATTTGTACATTTCTATTTAAAATGTTACACAAACTTTGTGAAGGTATAAGTAAATAAATTGATATTTTACTTACATTGTGGACAGATAAATTTATATATACATGTAACTGATTTTCTATCCTCATAAATATAAGCAATGATATTCTTAACTAAGGAAGAATATAAACTATAAACTGACAACAATTAATCTAATAACAAAATAGCAGTAGGTGAATTGTGTAACTGAATAGAATGTACATATGTATATATATATATATATATATATATATATATATGATTTATGATTTGGCATTAGATATTTGTATATCTGTGTATGGGATGTATATTAGTCTACAAAAACTGATGAAGGTTAAAAAAGGAATTCTTTTGAATAAAAGCATAGACAAAAAAAGAAAAATTTATGGTAAAAATATTTCTTTTTTTTGCTTTATTATTAGTCGCAAGTTTTTCTTCTTTCCTAGTGTTGGGTAAAAAAGAACTTACATTTTTATATTTTTAACAATATAAAACAGTTGCGAAAGTTGTAAAATCAACCTTCGGTCAAATAAATAGATATTAAAAATGATAGTACTATATATATATAATTATCATTCATTCAATCAATCATGATTCCATTGTAAATGTAGCTGATAAAAAAGGGAAAAAAATATTTGAACCGCTGCAAGATTATTAATTTTTTGAACAATGAATAGAAAAAACAAAAACAAAACAAACGAATTAATGAGTACTTATGAAACACCTAAAAATTAGATAAAGAGGGTTATATCGATTTCATATAACTTATATGAAATATATATCTATTTAATTGGTTACAAAAATATATTGAAAGTAATTTTATAAATATAATGAAATATATAGTGACATTCCAACATCATTGTGATTACTATTTTTTTATGAAAAACATATCAATGAATGGATTTAGTTTTAAAGATACGGAATTTGGAAACACCTCTTCCTGTAGTAGTAGTAGTAGTAGTAGTAGTAGTAGTAGTAGTAGTAGTAGTAGTAGTAGTAGTAGTAGTAGTAGTAGTAGTAGTAGTAGTAGTGAGATATTACATATTTTATGAGTTATTCTTCACCTACAATTAAATACATTTTTCTCTCCTCTTTTTCTTTCTTTCTTGTTACTTAAAATGTTAACGCTTCTGTAATATGTCTGGTCTATTTAATGATAACTATCTTCATCTTAAAAGTTTTTTATTGTTAACAGATACAGTTTTTTTCTTAGTTACTTTTTTTCATAATATACAAAAGAGAAGGGTTGATTATAGTTAAATATATTGATATATGTTTTAAGTAGTATAGTTGCCAACATTATTTAAATGAATTAAATTATGCTAAATACGAATGATTAATAGAATATACAAATTTAAAAACAAGCATGTTGTTTATGGTTTAAATTTACAGAAGATATATTATTAAACTCTACTATTCATTTATTATTTAGCAAGAGATCTCCATAACACAATCATCAGTAGTTATTATGTAATTGTTTTATTTACGTCTATTCTTTTTAAATGGAAATACATTACCTATTAATTAAAGTTAAGAACTTCTGGTCAATTTTCTGACTAAATTTAACTCAGTCATTTTTTTTTATTAACCAATTCAACATTCATACGAATGTATGTTGAAATATTATAAAATGCCTAACGTACAAACTATAGTGTAATAACTTATTAACTACAGTATTAGGATGTTGTAATGATTTTCTTCGTTATGCATAGTCATAATAAACTATTGGGTTAAAATACCATAAATTTTTCAAATCATACAAACAACATAAATTGAGATGGCAAATTGATTTACATTTGCTTTGTACATATCTAATGTTTATTTCCTAAGGTTAAACACTAAAATTTGGACAGATTTATATAATAAGTTGTAGCAATCAAAGATAGCTAAGTCTCTCAATTGATTCTGTCAAAATGTTACTGGAAGTTAAATCATATTGTTTAAAACTAGTATCTTTGTAACGATAGCTAAGACATCCTTTCAGTGTTATATGCATTTTGCAACTTAACCTCAGATATAAAACCGAATAGAATGTTGGATACTGGAATGTAAAAACTGTTGCAACATTACGTCATTATGATATATTTTGAAATATATCGACCGTCGTAAATCATGAGTGAAAAGTGTTAAATATGAGCAAAATCGATGCTAGTAAACAAACAATGCAATACGTATAGTTTCATTGGTTAAATCATTAACTGATCTTAGCTAGACCACGAATAAACACCAGGAGAAGTTGAACAGCTGTTTCAATCTATTACAAGACTTCTGAGCAATGCGCATCCACACCACCACATAGGGTTGAAGCAAAGACCCCCTCCCTCATACTGAGAAAAAATATATCTGTTTGCTAAATGAGTGTCTGAAAGATAGAATAATTTAAAGTACAAATGTATTTGTGTAACCAAGATTTGTTTTAACCCATATTACTAAAGTATAAGACTGTTAAATTTTGGACTTCCTACCTAACAAATTCAATACTTCTCACACTTCTGAAATTAGCAGTTATCGACTTACTAAAACAACGTCATGATTTTGTCTAGCTATACCATACTTCTTAAGCAATTACTCAGATACTAAGTGCGTTCTTCTTGACAATACAAAAATACTTGCAAAAAACACTGAGTACAATTTTTTATACATTCATTCAGGTTAGTCATCACGTGGTAAAGAACTCAGGAGGCTTACTAAATTATAAAAATCATATATCAAATACATCATTTGCATGTCTTCGTTGTGTTGTTCTTTACATACTCCATTATTCCACTAATTCTATCGTTATTTCGATTCCTCTAAGATTTCATTTCTGTACAATTTAATTCACTCCTCTGCTGCCATGCATTCCACTTTCGATTGCAACTACATACTACTTAAATTTTTCAGCATAAGTAGTATACAACACCATTACATTTCATTCTCTAATCGATTAACACTATTTAGCAGTCAGCATTTTTCATAGACTAACACTTGTTAAAATTCAGACATCGCTTTGTATCAACTAATTTTATTTGCTTGTAACAAGCTGTAAAATAAAATATTCTGTGTAAGAAAATACAAACCAGTATAGATCATAAGTTAAAAGTAATCGGACAGTTAATCAGTTCAGTTGACTATATGAATCACTCCGTAATAAGTTCTAAATAAAAATTAATCACGAAAACGAATAGTAAAAGTGAAGCTTAAAGAAGTTTCGTCTATATTAATGCATTCAGATGAAAACAACACATGATGATCGGACATTAAGATAATACTGACAAGTATATGTTGTTTAGATTCTGCCATTCTAACTAATTGAAATATATTTCATTGAAGGAAAATACATTGTAGATCTTTTTTTCGAGGAAAAAAAATTGTTTTTAAAATAAGCTAACTTTGAGGGACAGGACTCTCATATATCGACTGAAGGTTGATATACTGTAAAAGATTGACAGATTTAACCTTGTAAATTTAAAATATGCGACTGTTTCCCTTGTTTTTTTCATTCACATGACAATGTTTATTTCAACAACAACAAAAAAAAGAACAAAAAGGAAATTCACAAAAGAACAGATATGAATGATTAGAAGTTTGTCTCATTTTTAATTAATAGATGACTGTTATGAAAATGAATCCCATTATTTGCAAGGAATATTATGTTTATCTCATTAGATTGTCAAATGAATGATGAGTAATTTTCATTGTGTTATGAGTTAATTAATAATTAATTATATAAAGAAAAGGCAATTAATTTTTATACATAGACTATATGCTAGTTTGGTTACATTTTGGTATCATAGTTTATATTCCAAGAAACTTTGATTGCTCTTTTCATTTGACCATTTTTTTGGAAAAGTTGACAATATGAATTCAATAGTTGAAATCATGAGTCAGGTGAAGCTAGATCACCATGGAAAACCTGGTCTAGCTTCAATTGACTCATGATTTCAACTATTGAATTCATATTGTCAACTATTGAAATGACTAAAATCTCCACAAAAACCCTTCTGATAATATGAATTCAAGTTATTGATTCATATATTATTCGGATTACGCAACTATTTTACAAGTTGAAAAAATTTCATTAATTAAGTTACTATTAGACAGAGTTAATAGCTGAATAAGTAAAAGGATAATACAACGCTATATAAGCCACTAACTAATATGTTTAATTAAATAATACTCTGATAAAATACTCAAATATCATATTCTATTATAAATGACAATTTAACAACGAAAGAATACGTTGATGTTCTTCTTTCTTTGTTCATAATTAATTTTAGAATATTAAAGATTCCCATTGTGAAAATTAGAACAGCACATATAAGCGAACAACTGTTTTCAATTAGATCGTCATCAGGCTTTACTCTAATAGTAGTGACTTATTCTATTTCATTGTGATTATTGACCCATATTGCCTTGATTGGTTTAACATGTTCGTATAAATATTCATGTATATTAGAGTAAAGCCTGATGACGATCTAATTGAAAACAATTGTTCGCTTATATGTGTTGTTCTAATTTTCATAATTAATTTACCACTTTACTATTAACAATAAAACTCAAGATAACTATTCGTTTGCATCAGTCACAAATAAATAACTCCATTTAAATTATCAAAATGATTGAACTTAAATATTTCATTTATATCTATAATGATAAAATATGTAACTATATTTCTTAACAAGCAAAGAGACAGGTTTGCTATACTATTTAAAGATTAAAGGCTATCTAGAATGATCATGTTTAGTAATTAATAGTTAGTGAACATTGTCATTTAGGTTTTCATTGTCACAGTATTATTTATCATTTGGTAACCTTAATTAAACTATGTTTACACAGTCATTGTTTGAGTTGCGAATAATGAAGTTTTTGATTGTAACAATTAGCTTTACAAGTTGGAGAAGATTTTGTCATTGGTTCTACTAGTAGGTAGTTCTAATTATTCAAAGGCGAATGCATCAAAGCTTTACAACATTTTGAATGTTTGTGAAAATTTTGGCTTTAATGATGTGTTCAGGGATCTAAAATTGTCACATATATTTCTGAAATACGTTTTAATTTTAACTGAAATTTTAATATTCAGTTATTTAATAGTAAAATGCCTCTACAGAATTCCGCTTTCTCCATTGTGGCGCCACAATATTTTAGTTATCCATTTGTCTCATATAATTTCAATTGGAACTTAAAATCAATTGTAATTGATTAACTAGTTCTTATTTTTATTTTTCAAATTTATTTCACTGAAGAACCTCCTCGTATTCAGCCAAACCCAATAGTTCATGCTTATTTAGGTCAACCAGCCAGATTACGTTGTACAGTGAATTCAGTGCCACTTCCACCTTCTGGTCAAACGCATTGGTATTTCAATGGTAATCCAATTCAGCCAGATTCACAGTAAGTTTATATATATATATATATATATATATATATATATATATATATATATATATATATATATATATATATATAATTATATATATATATATATATATATATATATATATATAATCTTTGGGATACCAATATTCCAGGTGTAATTAAACTGAGTTCAGTCATATTTTAAAGATCTAACAATATCTAATATGTTTACAGATAACAGCTATACAAAAAACTAAATCAAATAATAAAATAAATGTTGTCCATACCCCCTTATTTCCATTAAGCCAAATTTTCATTCCCTTAAATGAACTGTTAATAAATTTTTGCAATGGAAAAATCTAATAATTTGCCTGTGTTATTCTACTAAAGTGACAGTGTTCATAAAAGTGAAATCAAACATTTTGCTTATACTAGCTTTTTTTTTAAATGTTTGAGACCATTATCAACACTACGATAATGTTGATAATCCCTACATGATATGTCAAGCTGTTCCGGGTTAAATATTGTGGTATGCCTGAAATGTGCATCGGTGAATTCAGATAGTGTAGTATGTTGAAGATTATCAGAACTATGTGATATATTGGCGCAATACATTACGAACAATCTGATCACACATATAGTCGTTAAGAATATTTCTATAAAAAGGTAAAAAGTCAACTAGAAATTTGGAGGGTAAGAGGGAACAAAGATAGTCAGGGAGGTAATGTGAAAAACAACATCCATGAAAAAAACCGATTATTCAGACATGAAAATGCCGTATTTAACTTATATCTTGAGTCGAAAATTTATTATGTTCAAAGAATCTCAACTGATGGCATGAAATTCTACGCATACTTTGATATTGTACAGAGGATGAACTTCAATGACTAGGGTTTTACTGATAAATGGATAAAATAAATATATTTTACACGAGCTCCTACGCAAAAGACTTCAAATGATCTTAAAGTTAAAATGTCAGGCTACTTATAAGTAGTCAATCCTAACTATCTAAAATAAGCTTTCAATAATCCATCTAGTATCAAATTTTGATATAATATGACTAATAAAAGAAATGCCACAACGAAACTCTACATCTCACAAACTGTTCCGACCAAACCAAATAAACAGTAATTTGCCTTTGTTACCAAGTATCAAGACAGTTTTTCTCAACTGAGAGTAGTATTTACTAACGGCTTACATTTATAAAAGGGAGTTGAAATCTATGCAAAGCAGATTTATAAACTAGATGGCTGTTTTTCCTGTTTGGATTTAATTCCACATTATATTAAAAAAAAGCAATCCCCAAAACAGGAGTCTTTCAAATAGCCCCGCTCTAGCTATTTAGTCTAAAAATTGGAAAAATCGATGTTAGAACAAATTTACTGTGGGTTTACATCTTAAAATATGGTAAGCATTATCAAATGTCTTAAAATCGTGCCAAAAATTTTCAAACAGTTTTAACGCTGTTACTTTACTAGTCAGTAGTGTAGAATAATATAAAAGGTTCCCTTTTGTCACTCATTCCAGCAATGACATACATTGATCATCGATACACATTTATGTTTTTGTACTAATGTTAACTTAAACTTATCAAACTATATTGTATGCTGTGTATATTTTAAAAAATTGTTTCAATTTAATTCTAACTATATACTGTCAGATCGACTCAACAACAAAAAAACTGAGAATCAAGTTTAATTGATAAACTGTTTTTTCAATAAATTTTGGTTTATTGACAAGGCTTTTTACTTTGAAACAGGTATTCTTATGAAAAGACGACATTTATGAGAACAATATGATCTAACAGAAAAATACAATATTCTTTCTCTATTGAAAGTGGAAACAGCGTGTAAATAATGTCACATTTTGAGACCTCTGCCATACGCATATGGATATATATGTATTTAAAGAATGGCGATCATGAATTCTACGTAAGACTGACTCTTCTATTGACAAACTCAAATAAAACAGATCATAAGAGTAATGTTAACTTTGCGATTTGCCATGAAAGTTTTCTAGGATAGATGCTTAGGTATTTTTAGGCCAAACCATTAGGACATGTTACCTTTCTCCTCTCAGAATGTTTAAAGGAGTTTGTACTTAAACCAAACTTACTCTGAGAATATTGGCTAGTTATCCAGTGTCTTAAGATTTATATTAATTTTTCTCAGAATCTTATATCTTACATAATCCTACTTGGTCACTTTTTAACATACATAAATCGATCTACAAGATAATGCATTATCAGGTCACTCGAAATGTATTACGCTAATAATAGCATATGGTTGTGATAAACTTTGATTTATCATCGCACTTTTTAAACCGTTTGCTTTATCAATCATGTTAATAATCTTCATTTTCTTCACTACCTTTTGATATTTACTTAATTAGTCATAAATTTGAACAAGAAGAATTTATCGGTGGTGTGGTACTTGTTCTTCATATTGCACATGTGATGATGAGTGATTTCGGTCAATATAATTGTTCTGTGAAGAACGGCTATGGATCAGATTGGAAATTAATACGTCTCAGTCATCAAGGTTAGTTATTTCATATGCATATATAAACCTAATGCCATTTTATTGAGAAATTTTTATCACTAAAATATACTTTGTATATATATTTCTTGTTTACAGAAGATATCCCAATTCAGTTTATTATCGGTGCAGCGGTCACTGTCGGGATTCTGTTAATAGTAGGATTAATACTTCTGTGTATATGCCGTCAAAGAGTATGTGGATTTCGTTATAATAAAGGTAAGGCTATAAACAAAAGGAATTGAATTGTAAAATAATGTTATGATTATTATTTTGCTGTAAATCAATGAAATTTTCGTTGATTAATTAACTTCACCTTAGTTTAAGTTATGGGTCTTTGCAAAATCTCTCTTCCTTTCTTGATCTCTCTCTCCCTATATATATGCTGATATCAAAGTATGAATAAAGCGGTATAATGCATAAACATTTTGTGTTTCACTATTCTTATACATAAGGACTCTAAACATGCACAATTAAGTAGCTGTTATTTGAAGTATTCGAGCAAGTCTCACAACATATTGTGTAAGTAATATCAACCATGACAAGAAAAATCCAGAAAACATTAATTAAATAAATATAACAAAATTAAAAAACAAATATTTTTTATCTTATAATGTATGATTTGCTATCTATCTAAATACTATAAATAAAAAATTCCGTAGTTCAAAAAGACAGCTTCTAAAAGACTGTATGGTTGGTTCAAGATAAATCTAAATATACTGATCGGTTTATTCTTGATGAATCCGTAAAGGCAAGTGATTCTAAAAGTCACTGATAGGATTTTACTCAAATTTGACATTAATGATTTTTTTTACTTCTGATCACATCATTTGGGCATATTTAGACCAACCTTGTCACTGACTCTTTCATATTCATATTCTTATCTATTATATTTCAATGAATCAGTCGAATCATATTAGACAGATCAGGATACAATAGAAACAACTTAAATTTTTATTTATTTTTAGTCCTTTTATTTCGTGTAACTTATGGGTAAGATGATTATTTAGTCATGTTTTAATCTATTCTACTTAAACTGGAGTCCCATCACTGATATACTTAGTAAAAAGTTTATTATATATATATATATATATATATATATATATATTCTTTTTCTCTTATCTATGACAGGTAAAAAGGGTTAGTTAATACAATACGAAAGGGATTATTTTCAAAAGTTCTAGCTTGAAGTAATTATGATACAAAACAAACAGGAAACTATTTAAATAAACAACATAGTTTAAACAAATCAAATATAACACTAATCTGGATGGTAGTTTTCACTACTACCTGATAGAGAAAACATTGAAATAATGTTTAATTCACTTAACAACAGCATATCAATATAATATTTCATTTAAAATCGTAATATAAAACTTGAAAGTATCACAAATAGAATTATTATTATTATTTGATTCTTTTCAATACATGATTCTGAATGTTTTGGTAAATGAATAATGGATAAATAAAGTTAAAAGAAAGTATCATAACAGTCTAATACTAATTAAATGTTAGATTAGTTTTATGTTGGTTTGTTTCTTTTGTACTGTTTCAAATAAACTATTTTTGAATACAAAGTTAGTCCTTTAAGGAAAGAATATAGATTTTTTTATAATTTAACTAATCTCCCATATATTCATATAAACAATCTGTACATGTACATAAATTTAGTTAAAATTGTATATTAAACATGTCATTGTTATTATATCATTACTAGAGTAAATGAATTATTAGTATAGTACTTATGAAAGAATTATATCATGTCCTTATATACATTCTATACTATAATGAAAACTAGATAAATATGATTTTACACTTTCTACCTAATTACCTCAATTTACAACTATAAATACCAATTATTATATGATGATATATATATATATATGGGGAGAGGAAGATATAAATGTACATCTTCAGTACATTTAGGTCGAGTATACTACAAAATTGAAGTTGTAAGATTCACATATAACCAACATTTTTCTTTCTGTTAGTAAACTTACATGAAAATTTATGGATATTGTGGGAAATACAGCTAAAACACATGTAATGGTAATTCACCTTAAGATTATTTGGGGATATATTTTTTACTTATGATATATATTTTTTAAATACTCATGATAAAACTAACATTTTGAATGTTCATTTTAAATTAGTTGTATCTTCATTGTATGATTTTAGTGATTATTATAATGGTTTTTTTTTTAAAAATCAAAGAAATGTAACACTCAGTAAATCTCATGTTTTCCTTGGAATTATTTAAACCAACGTTGGATTTAAAATTTTAAAAAATGTTTTGTCATTCGGTGAATGATAGGGAAATGTTAACAAGATACAACGTGGTACACATATATGTTCAGTCAAATAATCATACTCTGTTCAGAATTTGATGGGAGAAAAATAAAATAATGTATCTGTACTATTGTAAGCATTTTTTATACATATCACCTAAAGTCTCTAACTATAAATTACGATTATCACAGCGACGTCAACTGAGAAGCCTTTAACTTCCTGTTTATCAGTGCACTAAACTGAAGTAGGTGGTAAATAAACCTACCTAACACACATCCACATTTCCCCAACCATAGAAGCTTCACGACCACACTAACCGACTTTTACCAATTACTACACGCCTAACACTTGGATTGTAGTGAACAAGAACACCATTTGGGACAATCGAATGTATTTAACACAAAATTACAGGACTTGTTAATAAAATCTAACAATCATCAAATAAATTCTTAATTTGCAAAATGTCCCTCGATTGTCCCAAAATGACTCAGACTCATTGTTCTTGCATTTTCATACAAATTTCATTTTGTTTCGATTCTTCACTGTTCGATCCTCTTGTCTCTCTGTTGCCAGACCTTCTGTTCACGACTAACATCATATACTATTTATGTCAATATAAGTAGCACACACCACAGGATTATTCACTAGACTGTTCCACCACATGTTGCTAGTGATTTGAAAATACGATATTCATTGCACTGTCAGTTATATTAACCAGTTCATTGAAAAATATAGAAATCAACATAAATCTTGCTTCTTGTATTATTGTTATTTTTATTTTATTTAGGTAATCGCACTAAACAGCCATCAAGGAATTCTTTACAAGATTATGGTGTAGTGAATTCAGATTTTATAACACGTGCTTATACGCCGAATATGCATTATCGTCAAGATCCATATCAGTGTTATTCAAATAATCCAAGCTTAAATAAATCATTTGCTCGTTATGCTTTCGATGGTACAGATCAGGTAAGCTATGCTATTAAAAATACCTCTTCCTATTTTATTTCTAAAACTGTTAGTTAGTTGAATACATGTGTTTGGAAGTAGGATGTGTATTATACATCTTAATGCTCACGTAAACTTTATCTATCTGACTTTAGGGAAGATGACATGTTACGTTTTTCCTAACCTATGTCAGTTAAAATCAAAAACGTAACCAATGAGCTTTAGACTTCTAGGCTAAACTGTAATACAGCTAATTTACCAATTGAATAAATAAAAAACAGTTTAAAACCTGAATCAAATGTAAATTAAGACAATTCAGCAAACAAGATTTTATTTTCGACACTATCATTTACTCAAGCTGTACAATCGTATTTGTAATTAATTTACAAATGAAATAGTCTTTTGAAAGATAGGAGGATTACCACATCATATCATGTGTCAAAGAAAATTGCTTAATAATCGAGAACTAAAGAGAGATAATAAAATGAAATCAAACGTGAGAAGGATAATTTTCCACTTGACGATTGTGTGAGAAGGGTGAAGAATAAACTCGAAGCGTGGAGATCATAGAAACTAATAATTAAAATTAAGAAACTTTGAAGGATGTAATAAAATCAAATTACCGTTTATGACAATTAAGTATTAGGGCCAACGAAGAATGATGGCTTTCACGTGTCTCTTTAGCACACAGAGTTCAGGTTTATTTGAAAAGATGGATTGCTAACGTCTTACTTACTTACTTATGCCTGTTACTCCCAATAGAGCATAGGCCACCGACCAGTATTCTCCGACCCATTCTGTCTTGAGCCTTCTTTTCTAGTTCCATCCAATTCTTGTTGATTTTTCTCATGTTTATTTCCATTTCCCGGCGTAGTGTGTTCTTTGGTCTTCCTCTTCTCCTTTGGCCTTGAGGATTCCATGTGAGGGCTTGTCTTGTGACGCAGTTGGGTGCTTTCTTCAATGTGTGTCCTATCCACTTCCAGCGCTTCTTCCTGATTTCTTCCTCCACTGGGATCTGGTTTGTTCTATTCCACAATAGGTTGTTGCTGTTAGTGTCTGGCCAATGGATCCGACGTATTTTGCGTAAACAGCTGTTAATAAACACCTGTATCTTCTGGATGATGACTTTCGTAGTTCTCCGAGTTTCTGCCCCATACAGTAGAACTGTCTTGATATTTGTATTGGAAATCCTGACCTTGGTGTTGGTTGACAGTTATTTTGAGTTTCAGATATTCTTCAGTTATAAATATGCTGCTCTTGCTTTACCGATCCGCGCCTTCACATCTGCATCAGATCCACCCTGTTCATCAATGATGCTGCCCAAATATATAAAGGTTTTTACATCTTCCAAATATTCTCCGTCAAGTGTCACTGGACTGGTGCATGCTGTGTTGTATCGGAGAATCTTGCTTTTCCCTTTGTGTATATTGAGACCTACTGCTGCTGAGGCTGCTGCTACTCTGGTCGTCTTCTCCTGCATTTGTTGTTGCGTCTGCCTTGCTAACGCCTATGCAGTTCATAAGTTATCAATTCACGCTCTTTTTCAACCAAATTGTCTGACCTTACAGATGATTTTAAAAGACTTGTAAGGTGGGACTATGTGACCAGAGTCCAGAAGATGATTTAATATCGAACTGTTGATTGATTTACATTCACCTTTCGAATGCCACGCGGAATGACGTTCGGAGATGTGTTTGTAGAGCACTTTTTGCGGCCTATGTAATAATCCTTCTATCTTTCAAAAGACTATTTTATTTGTGAATGAACCATAATTACGACTGTACAGCTTGAGTAAATGATAGTGTCGAAAAGAAAATTTTGTTCGCTGAGTTGTTCTAATTATTTTTCAATAACACCATGGGTTACTGTCATTATGATGTACATGATTCGAACTTACTATACTTCATATCAATAAATGAAAAACCACAAAAATGAAAATATTCATACAAAAGCAGTAAATAGTAACATTCAAAGAAACAGGCAAACGAAAGGGGGGGGAATATTGTTTAGAAATGGAAGCTCTGTCAGTCGAAATCTCTAATCACTAGTGTTAATTGTCTTGTGAATCCTGACTGAAATGCTTATAAATGCTTTCTCACTCAGACTAACAGACAGAAGTGTCCTAGATTTTAAAGACAACTTTCCTATATTATCAGACGCACCATCAAGATGAATAAAATCAACAACTATCTCGGTGAAGATTGTTTAAAAATAAATCTATAAGCTAAACTGCTTTCTATAGTGTTTCACACGTAACGTTACCTGCAAATATTCAGTGGTTCTATTAAACCCTTGAGCTGCTTTAAGAGTATAGGTAAGATATGTCTAGAACAAATGTTTACATAAACGCATTTTCATTTTCAACAATCGTATTTTACAGTTTCATAGTGAAGAAAATTCTCTTGATACTCACTAGAATAAATTATTAGTCACGAAAATGATCTACTTTGTAAGAGGTAAAAGCCAAACTTTTCACGACGAAAATACTTCCAAGTCAAGTAACTCGATATCTTTCGGAGGTAGATTTACATGCCTTAAATATTACCTAAACAAACTGTTAGATAAATTTTGTTAATCACTAGTTACTAATGTATATACACTCAACCAATGAATTATGGAAAATAATTATATTGTTCAAGTTTTACTTGAAAATACTTTTATCAAATAAATATTGAGTTACTTGTGTACTGACTCATTTCACCTACTGTCATAACCTTTCTGACGACAACAAGTTGTGTGATTTTCATGAAAATCTATAAATATTTCTGTACAAGTTGTTAGGACGGACTAATTTATTGTATACTGGTTTATGAAGTACTTAAACGTCGATTTACAGTCAATAAATAAAAAATATCTTTATAGTACGATGATATTTTGAAGTATTCTGGATGATGTGCTAACTAAGAATTCCAGTAAAACAATTCAACTTAAGACAGGTAGAACTAAATGAGCACAACTGAACGTATTATATTCGAAATTCGCTCAATCAGGTACAAAAATCTCATCTATTCGTATAAATACCACAACTACACTACCGATTTTACAATCGAATTGATGCAAAAACGTGCATGAAAACGAAAATCCCTTAAAAAAGCGTAGGATTTCGCCTAAATAAAAGTGTCCCTCCAAGTTCCACACTCCACATTAACACAGGAAGTAAAAATCAACTCCACACTAAAGGTGAATAGATAGAAGTAATTGTGTTAACAACCGTAAACACTAAACACAGACCATATAGTTTGGAAATAATGAAGGGTATCAGGAAATAAAAACTACAAAAACTAGTCTTAAAAGTCAACATTCAAAGGGAAATAATGTATGAATACGTCTTCAGGAATAAAATATTTTTTTTAAAATAACAATACGACTATCTCATGAATCGTGATAAAAAAATCCTACACTTTTTTATGCAGTGCAGTCTAACAGTCACTGATTTTTTTTCTGATTACACAATAACTAATCAATGAATTCGTTCAGTTCACATGTTTAATGAATTAACATAATAAACTGCATTACAATGCTTTTATTTTTTACTAAAATATCTCATAATTTTACCAAATAGATCTACATGAAATATTGCAAAATAATCTAGACATTTTAATTTATTGAAATCAAACGCTATCAATATGCATTTTTGATTTGTTTCAGGGATCTATGCGTATACCCAAGGATCAATCAGAAAACTGTTTTTATGAAACATCTAAAGAAGATATATGTGCTAATACGTAAGTTAACTCTCTTTTGGAAACTAATCAAGCGTAGAATACCCATTAAAGATGTTAGCTTCACTCAACAGTGTCAACGATAGTGTAACAACTGGTGTTGATAAACTCCTATGTGATTTCTTCTAACGTTTATTCTAATCTTTCCAGTCATTCTATCATTTAGTTATGTGACTTTGAGGAAATATGTATGGCAGGACATATGTTTATATACTTTTATCACTTTCATGTTTCGAGATTGAACCACCTATTACTCACTAGGTTGGCTATTTCTCCTATTCCGGTTCATATATATTTCATCTGGGTTATCAAATGTCTGAAATATACGTTCCTCAAATAATTTCGTATCCCACTTTCTATACTAACGTTGTTATTGACGAGATTTTTCGATAGAGTATTTACGAAACTATTATAGTCCAATCACTACAGAGTTAACCACGGGCACTAAAATATATTAACAGCAGTATTACAAGAAAAGCTACAACACAAAAGAATTCTGTGTCATAAATCTCATTCAGTTAGGTCATTTATAATGTAAATGTACAAAGATTTTGATGAAGATTAGAGCATAGAAGAAACATAAGTTGATTTGATCACTTTATTGGAAATCTACAGGTTCGATTTAGTATTGTTCGGTACAGTTATTAAGTGATTCTAAGTCCATTCCGAAACATATGATCGTGAGCACATACGACTTACCTCTTCCTGTGAAAATAATTACCATTTGTTGAAGTCGTTGACCATTTTCGTAACGCTTAATTTGGATTCTGACTATTAAGGAAAATCCAAATATGATTTGTCGAATTAATCAGTCATATTAAGCGTAGAAACCGGTAATGTGTACATCAGTTCAAGTTGCTATGCTCCATTAGCAGTGTGAAATAAAACGGTCAGAGCAAACCCCGTATAACAGAGGTAGTACCAGTACTGGTGATGATGGAAAAGACTAGACAGCGAAGCCTCGATTCGAGAAAACACAAATCAGTGAAATAATAAGAGAACTTTAATGTGATTTAGAAACTTGGAATCTAAGAGAAGACGAAGAATGAATGTACATACATCATTGTGGCAGATTTTGAGCCATATCACAGTCTCTAACTAATGGATACAATAAACACATAGACCCCAATAAATTGTCGAAAGTTACTAATTTGCATAAAAGCTTACAACATAACTGGAACTATTATTTGTTTTTTTTTACTTTTAGTTCTGTTCCTGTAGGTATTTCCGCTACATACTGTTCAAGTTTACCATCTTGTCAATTTTTACAACCCATATGTAACGGAAGTACTCACATTTCAAGTTTAAACCATCGAATGTTATCATCGGATCATTCACCTTTTTTAACTAATTGTTCTAATTTATTGCCAACCTCTGGATTAATTCAAACTCCCCCACCTGATTTCATACCGGAATCTATTAATTTACAATCATGTGGAAGTAACAACAATCTAATAGGAAATAACAGTTGCCTTTTTTCAACTAATAATCATTTACTAGCAAATCTTCCACAAATTACAACATTGGATTTAACCAATGGTATACCTACACATACATCATCACACGGTTTATGTTCAGGTGGAAATTCGATTATCAGTGGACATAGTTCTGTGGACAATAACAATAACGGTAATTCACGTACTCCTGTAAATTCACATTCATCTCGTAGTGTTAACAATCCACCACTTTCACCTGACCAACAATCATCATCAATCATTACATCAGATCATTCAGAACATATGGTGCCAAAGATGGAGAATCGATCACATTCACCTATAACTTATGGAGTTAACACATCTATTCATGAAATAGCCTATTTAATTAATGATCATACAACAAATGTTTAATTGTATGGCGACGAATATTGTCCTTTTGCATATTTATTATTATACATAGTATTTGTTATTTTACATCATGTTGATGTAGAACAATAATTGAACTGTCGTTTTTCTTTTTTGTGCCTTAAACATAACATTACACATAATCCCTGTCAATATTTGCTTTTATTTCGAAAACACCTATCTAGTCGTGTTTATGTGGTAAATATGAATCTTAATCTCCTTTAAATCTAGTTCTACAGAGTATCATTACTACATGTATCACACTAACATGGGTTATAAAAAGTTCTCCCCCTGTATATATTATTTTATCTAACAAATGCAAGAATACATCTACTATTGTTTATATATTCATCAATGTAAGGTAACATAATTCTTCCCTACTCAGTATGACTAAAGATAACAATATAGGAATTATAGTATCTGTTTTAACTATTTTGTACAATTGTAGCTGTATTAGATTACAATAAGATGCTTTATTTATGTGAGACCCTATCAAGTAATGTAGGAAGAGGGCAAATTTAATGAAATAATGTACCTAAACTAATTTTATACTTCTTACTAAAAATAAATTGCGATAATTGACTAACTACAACTTGATATAAAAAACAGGCAAAAAATGTAATTTTAAAGAACTGAAGTGATAACTATGTACTAGCTTGATTGGTTCGTTAAGAATAAGTTAGTTGGTTATCAGTAATGTGAAAGTACGGTATGATTTTGAAAAATACCTCTGACAATGTTGTTAATGGATCTCTGATTGTGTGAAACGAAGAAATGAAAATCTTGAACACTAATAAACACAAGATTACGATATAATAATGACAACTGCTGAGAAAATTATAAAAGCAGATTCATCGTGAAGTTAGATTTGTTAGAATACTTCAATGTTTAATCTCAGATACGAGTTCAAGGTTGTAATGAATGGTAGGAATATTACTCCTCAAAATCAGGGCTGGATTGAACACATTTATATTCTCAACATCAGTATAACAGTTCGAATCTGACCAATTGGAAAATAAAGAAGAAGCTTATAAAATCATGTCTTTGCAAATGCCCACGACAAAAAGACGAATTAGGTATTTCTCACAATCCCCTGTTCGGAAAGTAAAAAACCTAACTATAAAGATAAATGTCTTCAGTAAGTGGTGATTAGACAAATAACGTTTTGGAGTAACTGCTCGCATCTGTAAAGCTTATTTTCTTCTAAAATAAAAAGCAAGAGGATCCCATATTCCGACAGATTCTACCCCTTTCATTTATTGAGTCATTTTGTTTTTAGAAGTTTAAAACAGTGAACCATGTGGGAAGAAACGCAACTGTGAACATGGTCTGGTACCAATGACGCAATGCTTGGTTCAGTCCTAATGTTCATAAAAGGAATACTGCAAAAAAGCAATCTTACTTCATATATTAAGTAAAATTCCAAGTTTTATAATGACATTAAAATAATTGCTCATGTATTAAGTGAATTTTGTTCATCAAGATTTCAAAGGCTACATGGGTTACAGTAAGGTCAAATAAAATCATTTTTCACACCAAGCTTAGATAGTATATTGGATTGACTTTTAATCACGCTAATATTTTGTTAAATAAAAGGTTCAGGATCTACAAATTGTTTTTCAGTGAGATTGATTGTCAATGGTGAGAAGTTTAGAATGAAAACACTATTGACTAAGAAACATATTTAGAGATAATTACCTCATCGTAACCATTATCTGTCAATTACGATCTACACAATCCCTCATCTTTATATGTTAAATAAGCAAGACCAATTTTGAATAGATGCAAACAAATACTACACAGCATGGAAATCATATGTGCTTACAGTAAGATCTTATCAGGGATCCTATGTAATATTATAGAATACACTGAAATATCTTAATAGTGGAGAGGATCACTAGCTACTGAAAGCTTTAATCACAACAAGGTGCCCTTCAAGGACAA